CACTGATCGCCACCTCTGCCTGTTGCAAATGTGGCACATTATAGGACCAAACCATACTTATAACTCTTTCTGCCTAGTCAGCAAGTAACATATTCATACATCATACTTAGGCGAGCATTGTGCAAGGGCATCTGCCAGTAGTGCAGCCATGGAAAGTGTTGGGGAAGCAACTGATGCAGGTTTACCACTTTTTGCATCATTTTTTTGTTAAACCCTGTTTGGGCACCAAGATGTAGTATATTTTCGAAAGCTACTCATATCTGACGCTCTTCAATAGTTTAACCTCTTCATGACTGAGGCCTTTTTTTCATTTTTTGCACCCATGTTATATTCCACATTTTAGGCCTGAAAATGACTTAAAACCCCCAAACATTATATATTTTCTGAATGCCAAGACCCTATAGAATAAAATGGTGGTAGTTGCAAATTTTTATGTTGCGCAATATTAGCGCAACTCCTTATTAAACCCCAACATTTAGTGAAAAATGTAATTAAATGCCCCAAAACACAACAAAATACCCATTTTTTTAATGAAATATAAAAGATGAGGTTACAACGAGTAAAACGATACCCAACATGCCCAGTTTACAAATTGCGTGCATCCGTGAAACGGCGAAAAACTGCAGTACCCCAAAAAGTCCATAGAAGACGCTTTAAAAGCCCTCACAGGTCATCAATTTAGAGATACCCCAAAATACTGGACCTAGAATTATTCACACCGGCGTGCGCGGGGATACCCAACATGTGTAGCGCGTTCGTCGTTTTCATACGTAGCCACACCCGATGCGTGTTTTTACGTGGCGACGTGCATGCTCACGGGGGCGGGGGACTTTAATTTTTTTTTTTTAATTATTATTAGATTTATTTTATTTTAATTTTAAAAACTTTTTTTTTTTTAACTTTACTTTGACTGCTATCACATAGGGGGGGCTTACAATCTCCCCCCCATGTGATAGCAGATGGTGGTGACAGGTACTCTTTAAGGTGATGCTGGGGGTCCAAAAGGAGGGGATCGATGAACGGAAGTTCGTCGACCTCCTCCCCAGCTCCCCGCGGACACCAAGGAAGCCGGTCCCGTAGGAGGGGCAACGGAGCCCGGGAGGTGTCTGGCGCCCCTTCTACGGGACATAGAAGCGATCTGGTGACAGGTAAGTCGCCAGAATCGCTTCTGTTGTAAAGCCGACAGTCGGCTTTACAAGTTTAAACAGAGCTATTGCCGCCGGGAGTCTTTTTAAACAGCCCCCGATGCTGGCGACGTACACTGTACGTCGTCAGTCACCAAGGGGTTAAATAGCATAATATTTATTTGAATAGACAATATGTCCAATAATTTAGGTTAGACTTTCCTTATAATCCAAATTGGTATTTCAAAGTACAGTAGGGGAAAAAATAAAAAAAACCTTCAGCTGTCTAGTGGCCACTTCTGTGCAAGAGCAACACAATAAAGTATCACCCCACAGATGCCTTTTAACTTTTAACAATTTTAGAACTGGTAAAAGCTATCCAACCTGCTTTGACTGTATCATTATGTCTTAGTTTAGTTAATTTGTAACAAAAAGATCAGAAGGGTTCCTGCACACATCCACAGCAGTAGGTGTTAATGAGGAGGGAAGATCTCTCTCCCCCTACGCCCTTTGTGGCTAAATCTTTTCTCCACCAGTTTTAGGTGTTGGCCTCTAGTCTTTCTTATGGAGTTTACTGTAAACAGTTTATTGCTGATGTTGCCATGAGCACTAAACATTTTCTACATCAAAATCATGTCTCCTCACCTCCAGCGTGAACAAGTTCAAATTTAGTAGCCTTGTCTCATAGATTAGGTCCTCCAGTCCCTTAATTAGTTTAGTTGCCCTTCTCTGGACTCTCTCCAGCTAATGGACATTCTTTCTGTGGATTGGTGACCAAAACTGGACCGCATAGTCCATATGAGGCCGAACCAGTGATCTATAAAGTTGCAAAATGATTGCTTTGTCTCTACAGTACATTCCCTTTTTAATACAAGAAAGTACTCTGCTTAATTTGTTGCCCAATAACTGTAGCCTCTTTGGCTGAGATTTCCTTGATTTCCGATTTTCATATTCTTACCAATGGCTGTCTTTTAAGTGTGAACAGAGAGAGGGCAGTATTTCACTGATAATTCTTCCCAATACCTGATGCTGAATGTCACTGATGACCCGGTACATTTTAATTATCACCATTGAGAGCTGCATATAGGGAGCCAGTTCCCAACTGTCAACTGATTAGCCAGGAGCAAGCTGCACATGTCCCTTGTTACAGGCTGGACACAAACCAACAAGATGCGCCAATCAGCTGCCAAAAACATACAACAGAGAAAAATAAGAAACCCCACAAACAAGACGTATACGCTGACTAATATATAGCAACTAAAGGACAGTATGAATCTATATAAAGTAATAACATTCCACAAAGGTAAGCCAACAAAGCTATTATGCCCCAGCAACACCCTAAAATGACAACAATGTCTTACTAAGATTAGCAGCAACCAGATAAGAATTGGGCGTGCAAAAACAAAAAAACTTCCTAAATATACATACCATTACAATACAATAGATGTCATTATATCATCAAGTTAGTCAGTGTTGTTTTTTTATGGTAAAGTATTTTTGTACAAACTTTAGACACTTAAGTGTGTCATAAATAATTCATATTCATCAATAATACTATTATGTTCTTGCTGATGTGTCATCAACAATTTACTGCCTTATAGTGGAGACCGGTTTGTGCATTTGCAGGCAACAATTCATGTGCTCTATCCTTTAATCTTGCCCTATATTATGTTTCAAAACAAATACTCCTGGATACTTGGTGTCTGCTATCAAGAAGAAGTAACTTATTATCAGTAATCCTTTCAGAGCTACTTGTAACATCCAAT